AGGCTGCGCTCCTGTCAGCCCGGGGTGCCCGAGGCTGAGTCTTAGTTAAGGTTGCTCGGAAGTTGATCCGGAGGAAAATGTGTGGCGTGTCTGTGTCTGTGTCTGTGTCTGTGTGTACAGGTGTGCGCGCGTCCACACGCGTGTTCGTACGTATAAGGGCGTCTGTGGTTGTCAGGAGGCTGGGTGCGCGGCGGCCCCCTTCCCCCTTCCCGCGGCAACCCCTTCCCGGTTCAGAGTTTCAGCCAAACTGACGGAATCTGGCGCGGCCCGGGGAGGAGTGGGGGCGGGAGGGGCGGTTCCGTCCCGGAGCCACTGGTTTGGGGATAATTACTTTTAATGTCAGAAAGATTTAGTTTAATATCATCTCTATTAGGGCTGCCGGGAGGGTAATTAAACGGGACGCGCTGCAGCCGGCAAACAGATGGCGTCTGCTTGCTCCGAGGCCGCGGACAAACAGCGCAAAAGTCAAAGCCTCGCGGGTGCCCATCAGTGAGCGCTCCTACTCCGGGCCACGGCGCCGCGCCTCCAGCCTCCTCCGCGCCCCTCACCCCGCAGTCTCACCTCGGGTCTCCACCGAGGGCTTCCCTTTCATCCCACCACTGCCTGGGGGAGGGGTGTGGGGGTTGGGGCCAGCAATGAACGTGGGTGGAGGTGGATATTCACGGCTGGGAGCCCTCACGGGGCCCCAGCCCCTGGCACAGCAAGGGCCTCGGCAAATGATCCTGAGCTAAGAGGACGTGCGAGGGAGCTTGTGCTTGTGCCCGCAGCTCCCTCGTTTGTCTGGGGAGGTCTGACTTCTCTCCCAGGGTCCAGCCACCTGCAGAGCCCTGGAGTAAGGTTAGGGCAGCGGAGGAGGAGGGCACAGTGTGTGAGCGTATGTTCCTGGCTGGGTGGGAGCCTGCGGGCATCTGGGTGAGAGGTCACACACCTAGTGGATGTCCCGAGGTGGGCACGCTTACGAAAGGTGCTGTGAATTCGATGGAACTCGCTCACGTGTCCTCTTGAGTGGGAGGGCAGCCTGCCAGGTGAGTGCACCCTGCCGGTAGGTAATTGCATGCAGGTATGGGGGTGTGTGCAGGGCTTTGCAGAATGAGGTCACAGGTGCAGGTGGTATGTTCAGATCTGTGAAGCCACCCTCTGCTGTAAGTAGAGGGGGAGCCTCCCACCGCTGGTGGCTCAGCCGGACCACACCTTCCAGTCTGCTGCCCTCTTCCAGTCTGGAGCCCAAACCCGCACCAGCCCCAGAGTGGCACGTGGAGGACCGAATGCAGTGACCTCTCTCCAGGACACATTCACTCACATGAGCACCCCAACCTCGGGGGCGCCAGAAGAAAGGCTGTGGGTCTCGGACCTGGGGGCCTGTGAACAGGGGAAAGAGGAGCGAGAGGCACCTGCTGTAGGGGTGGGCAGATTCCCTCAGGTTGGGCTGGTTTCCAGGATGTGTCCTCCCACCCACACCCACCCCCCTAAGAAAATGAGGCTCCTTAACACTAGTGAGAGAGCTTGAGGTTCCCAAATCTGAATCCTCAGCTGGATCCTGGGCTCCTGCAGGTTTACTCATTGAACTGGAGGGGGGGGGGTATCTCACCGTGGCTTGGTGGTCTCAAGATGTGGACATGGGGTGTCTGGGCCACTGACCCCTGAAAGCCAGGCTGGTTTCTATAGTTCATCTCGTTTGAGGCTTAAAATAATTTCTGACCCTGGCTGGTGTGACTCGGTTGGTTGGAGTCAGCACCCCTGACCTTGCCCTGGAAGGTCGCAGGTTCCGTTCCAGTCACGGCACTTACCAAGGTTGGGGCTGGATCCTTGGTTGGGGTACCTACAGGAGGCAACCAAGTGTGTATCTCTCTCACATCCATGTTTCTCTCTCCCTTCCTCTCTAAAATAAATTTTAAAAATTAAAATAATAATGATTTCTGGAAAACAGTCCAAGGAAGCTCTGAAAGGAGTAGCCTGGTTACCCCTCCCCAGGATCTGGCTTCCGTCTTCTCTTCCCACCCACTCCCCACCCCGTAACTCCAGGACGCAGTTAACGCAAAGATTTCCTTGACTTGGAAGGAAAGCTGTTGGAAGGTGGGGCCTGGGTCCTATGTTCCTGAAGAACGTATTATCCCAGACTCACTCCCTTACCCTCACTTCATACGGGAGACCCTGGGGGGTGGGGGGGCTGACCCCTTTCTCTCTCTCAAACGCATTCTCAGGCTCCAGCGCGTGGAATTTGTCAGAAGCGAATGGTCTGGTTTCTACCCCTGTCATAGAATCTGTCCGGGTCAGAGTGCACCCATGCGCAGGCCTACTCAACTTTCTGGAAGCTCTGTGCGCACACCACC